AAGATTGGTAATTGTCAATAGTGACGTATTGATTCCGATGTGAGAGATAACTTTGAATCCACCCGAGAGCTTCTCCTCGAATACCATAACAACTTAATTTATCAAGTAAGATGCTGTGATTAATAACGTCAAATGCTTTCGAAAGGTCTAAAAACAAACCAACTGAGAGTTTTTTGTCATTGAGTTTGGAGAGGATGTGATGGACATAATCGAGTAGAGCAAGTTCCGTTGAGTGGCTAGGGCGAAAACCATATTGGTTGTTGCAAATAATTTTATGTACTTCAAAGAAAGAAAATAGTCTGACATAAACTGCTTTTTCTAGTAATTTTGACAACGGAGACAGTAGAGAAATCGGCCTGTAGTTATTAATGTCGGCATTATCTCCTTTTTTAAATATGGGAATAACTTTCGAGGTTTTAAAGCAGTCCGGAAAAATTCCTGAACTAAGAGATAAGTTGAAAATATGTAGAAGGGGTACTGTTATATTGGATATTATGTTTTTTACAAGAAACATATTTAATCCATCATCTGAATAAGATTTCTTGTTTTTCAACTTGCCAGCTAATGTTAGCAGCTCGGAGCGAGTAATCGGATGGAAGCAGATAGAGTGAGAATTTGGCGGTGACATGTGGGACAAAGGATCTGTATCAACTGAAGGTAGGTTAGAGAGAAGTTCGTTGCTGATGTTTATGAAGTGTTCGTTAAAGTGTTTACATATTTCAAGTTTGTTTTGTACCTTATTATTGTTGATGATGAGTTTTGATATTTGTGGAGAAGAATATCTAGTATTTAAAGCTTCTTTGATCAAGTTCCACTGTGATTTAGAATCATGAATTTTATCGAAGCGGTGAATGTAGAAATCACGCTCAGTCTTTCTTTTAATCCGGGTGAAGAAATTACGATACCTTTTATAAGCAGAAATGTTGCACTGCGACGGAATTTTAAGGCTTTTGATGTAGAGTTTATGTTTAATTTTGGATAAATGGATGATGTGTTTGTTGACCCACGTTTTTTTATAAATATAATTGACTGGAAGCAGAGGGGAAACGGAGTCCAGAATATAGAAAAGAATGGCATAAAACGTAGAGCAGCATGTATTAATATTATCTTGAGTAGTGACAGATGACCAGTCTTGGACAGAAAGTTGGAGGTTGATTTTCCTAAGAGAATCAGGACAGAGATTTCTACGAAGTTTAATTGGAGCTGTTGGAATGGGGAAACAGTGATTTGGACATAAAGCGAAAATAGGAAAATGGTCGGAAAAGTCATGTAAAAGAATACCAGAAATGTGATGAGATAGATTGCTTGTGAAGATATTGTCTATTATAGAAGAGGAAGAATGAGTCACTCTGGTAGGCTGAGATATAAGAGGAACAAAGTTGAAGGAAGCCAGTAAATCGGAAAAGGAAGCAACGAGTTTATCAGAGCAGGCCTTTGAGAGATCTAAGTTGAAATCGCCGACAAGGTAAACTTTAGAATTGGTTTTAAGACTAGATAAAGCGAGGTCAAGTTTTTGAATTAAATTGGAGGGGTCAGAGTTTGGTGGTCTATAGATAGCAAATACGATGACGTTGGATTTGTGAAATTTAATTTCAATACATAGACAATCGGCGACGTCGTCCGTTGATAGGGCATTGTCGAAAAGTGTATAATCTAGTCCCAATTTAAGAAATATCCCGACACCACCACCCTTTTTATTAGATCTGTTTTTGAATAAAAAATTATAATCTGGTAAATTGATTAAATTAACCGATTCGTCGTTTAACCATGTCTCAGAAATAACAATTACATTGAAATAATTACTTATAACATTGTTTAACAATAATAAATCGTTTACTTTGTTTAATAAACTACGACTATTTATATGTAGGATTGACAAGAGGTTATTAGGTTTTAAATCATTATTATTTAACATATTCAAAAGATTATCAATGAA